GAAGGACACAAGAGGAGACACTGAGGGTCTCACCAAGGAGAAAAGGGGGAGCACTGGGTGCAAAATCATCTCAGCAGCAGTACTCCACGGCCAAATACCTTTGCCTCCTCCTCTCCCCCTTTGCTTTCCACCAGGTGCTTTGGGGACACCAGCTCAGCCCTAGCATGTGTATGGTGAGGGGTCACAAATAACAGCCTGGCCCCTTATTTTTAGGGGACACACACAACTCTTTGTGAGGGGACAGAGCAGGGACATGTAACAGTGGCAATCAGCCATCCTTTTTCCACTGGATGAGCAGTCGGCTGTTCCTGGGAGATTAAGTGTAGCCACTATCATCATCTTGCCAGTAGGATTTAGATGATGTTTTCCCCTTATTTCTTAAAAACATGTGGGTGCAGCCACCTGGTGCCCACTGACATGCCATGAGGTGCTCAGAGGTGAACCCCTGTGCCTCCAAATCCCACAACGCCCCAGCACAACATTAACGTACACAGCGAGCACCTCTTGGTAACTTCTATGTGCCCTGGGTGCCCAGGGCCATGAAAACCACCAGCCAGGGACACACAGAAGTACACATAAAAATCAATATGGATACATAAATACAAAATATAAATATCAAAATAAGAGAAATTGAAATAATAGAATAAATAGAAATAGCAGAAATAGAATCATAGAATCATAGGATGGTTTGAGTTGGATCAGACCTTAAAGATCATCTAGTCCCAGCTCTCCTACAGAGACAACTTCCACTAGACAGGTTGCTCAGAGCCCTATCCAACCTGGCCTTGAACACTTCCAGGGATAGGGCATCCACAACTTCTGTGGACAACCTGTTCCAGTGCTTCACAACACTCACAGTAAAGATTTTCTTCCTAACAGCTAATCTAAACCTGCCCTCATTCAGTTTAGAGCTGTTTCTCCTTGTCCTACCACTACATAGAGATAGAAATAGAAATGGAAATAGAATAGAAGCCTTTGATACTCCCTTCCTGGAGAACGCAAGTACTGTGTGAGGGCCTAACCCAGGAGGAGATACTCAGGCCTCTGTTCCTTTCCCACAGACGGAAGGGCCACTGAGGGCATCTCCTTGTGCCTCCCTCCCTGGTGCAGCTTCACATGCCCCATTTCATTTGGGGAGTGGGAAAGGTTCTCAGCACTGGACTTTTTTAGGAGCAAATTGCTCCTAATGGTAGAGAGAAATAACCACCCTCTCACCTCCCCTGGGGTTTTCCTTTGTTTTAAGACCTAGCAAATACATGGCTCATCCCCTACGGAGAGCATGGGCAGGGGGCTCTGGTGGCCTCTGTACAACACTTTGCCCGGCCAAAGGACCTCTCATTTTTCCTATCTGGGAATAAACTGCCAGCACTGGCTGCCTGCACGTAGGCAACCCAGGCACACGCAGATAAGGCACCATCTGCTTTTATTTGCATCCAAGTTTTTAACCGTCAGAAGCAGCTCACCCATACTCCAAGCTCTGGGGATAGAGGAGAAGGTTTAGGGGGGGTTTAGGAATTGGCCCCCGAGGCTGGCACAGTGCCATGGTCTGACCGCATAACCTCCAGCCTTAAAACCCAGGCAGTCATTATCTATATAGTGCAGTGATGTGGAGGCAAAGGCGGGGGGGGGAGGAAAGGAGACAGAGAGGGAGGGGGCAGACGCTTTACCTAACTTTGGACATCTTAGGGATCTAATCTCAGCTGTTCACCTGGGCAGTTCCTGCAGCTGATCTGGGCTGCTCAGCCTCCTCCGGCTGGTGCCGCTGCTGGCAAACAAACACCCTCTCCCCTATACATGGTAGTTCTGGCCCTTTCATCCGGACTAGCTCCCTAACTTTCAGGCAGTCAAAATAGAGGGAAGATCCTGTACCCCTGAGCGACTTGCTGGAGGGAAGGTAGACAGGTGGTCACAGCTCATCAGGCTGCTGTTGGCCTTGTACATGGTGGGTAACCTGGTCAAGGTAACCTGTGAGCACCCCACTTGATGCTGGAAAGCACCCCTTGAACCTTGCACTGTTTTACCTATGCATCCTTAACATGAACTGCTCAAGACTGAGAGGATTTTCCAGCCCCTGGTAGGATGTCAAGGCTAGAGGTGGAATGCAGATGTTGCAGAGCAATGGAAGTCCTGTTGCCTCTGGGAAGTGGGGTCCAGCACTGCAGGCACCCCACTGCAGGTAGCACAGGAGGGCTCATCCAGAAGGAAAAGTTATTCCCATGGGCCACTCATGCCAGCTTGGGCTCATGCCCGTGTTTTTGGCCACAGGAACCTGCCACTATGCCCAGAACAGGGTGGGTTACCCCCTGCAGTCACTTTTCTCCTCAGTAAAAGCTACCCAACCACTCCAAGCCTCCTGTGCCTCCCATTTCTGGCATTAGTCAAAAGAGATTGGGAAATACCATTTCTCCGACGAACTCCAGAGGACAGAGCCTGGCAGAAGAATCCTCTCCGTAATCCTATTTACCTTCTCCTCCCTCCCTGCACTGTGTTCAGCCAGACCCCATGGGGATTTAAACAATTCCAGCTGCAGATTTTGTCTTAAATGGTCAAACTGTCCACACTGGATGTGCTACAGATCTGCTGGGTAACAGCCTCTGCCTTGTAGGGGCAGGACAGCTGTTCAGAGGCATCCGAGCGCACCAGGGCACTTCTGGAGATTATTGCCAATGACAACGTCTCATTTTACCCAATTTCCATTTTCAAAGAGACTCAAAATCACCAGCAGTGGGACTTGGTCTTGGTGGCAGTCAGATCCAAGTGCTTCTGTCCTTTTTTAATAGCAAAACTGGGAAATTGGCTGATGTTCCAGCCATGCTCATCAGCCCTGAGCCCCCGACATACAATGCAGTGTGGTCAGCCCAGCACGAAGCTGCTCAGCCTGGCCAGTGCTACTGGCAGAGCAGGCTTAAAAGATGCATTAAAAGATGCTTAAAAGGGGCATTGTCTCTGGCTGCTGGACTTATTACCACTGTTTTAAAAGATTTATGAGTTGGTTTCTAAGGGCAAGCTCCTTGTGTGAGCTGGGATGCTGGCTCTCATGCAACCACAGTGCTGCACAGCTTTAGGTTTTCCCTGTGCTTGAGGCTGGGACGTTTCTCACAGCCACAATCCAGCTGGGGCCAAGCGAATGGGGTACAGTCATCGCTTTGGGATGCTTTTTGGGCTCTGCCGGCCATCATGCCTATCGTCCACAGGCATTTTGGTCACCTCCTCTCCCTGCCACTCTTCCCCCACCCGGCTCCCCTGCACCCAGGAGATAATGACACACAGACGACGGGGTGACCATATCGCCCCGACGCAGGCGAGACAGGGGCAGCCTGATTAACGCTGCACCAGTTTTGGAGGCAGAGTCCCCTGTCACCCTGGGATGACGGGATGCTTGTGCCCTGCTGGTGGCTGATCTGCAGCCGCAGAGCCTCAAGGAGGGACAACTCCACCACATGTCATGCGCCCACACATTTCGCCTGTGCTTACGCGACACATTTATCGGGGTTAAGCAGCCCTGGTCTGAAAGGCAGAAGAAAACAACACACTGCCCCAACAAACCAACCCAAACACAAGATACCAAACTTTCAGGGAAGGGGTGGGTGAGCAATGTGCAAAACAGCAGTTTGCAGTTCATTCCTTGCTTGCCCCAGATGTAGGTACAACCAGGCAGACTGTTGTTTCAGTGGTTGTTTTTTTCCAAAAACCTCCCAGGCATCCCCCAACCTGCCATACTCTGCTCTGAACCCCATTTTTTTCTCTCCTTTTTTGGTTCCTACCAATCCCCATCGCAAGACCAAGCCCTGCAGCCTGGAAGCAGCTGCCCTGACCTGCTCTATCACCTCTAGCCTTCCTTCCCATCCCAGCCTCCTGTGTGCCAAATGCTTGTCCCATCCCAAACTCAATGGCAACAGCTATGTCCTGCTGGGAGGCAGAGGAAAAAGCCTGGACCTTGAGCAGCACAGGGACAGGAGGGTTTCTAGGCCAAGGGCAGAAGGCCAAGAACCATCTATGGCAAGCCCTGGTGCTCCACGGGTGCAGTGGGGAGTTGAGCTCATTGCTTGGACTCTTGCACCATCCATTGGGTTATCCAAGGGCCTTGTGTACTGGACCAAAGCCTGCCACCCAATTTTACCAGAATTTGTGACTTACGAAGAGGTTTGCCTTACCTAGGGAAAGCAGTTGTCGTAGCCCTTCTCAGTGGAAGAGCGGGCCTCTATTTGTCTCCACACCCCAGCCCCAGGGGATGCAAATACCATGGCAAGGTGATCGCATGCTGAGGAAAGGGTGCTGCCCTAACTCCCCTCATTCTGGCTGCCACCATGTTCTCACACTCTGTTTCCATCCCCATGTCTCACAGTACTCCATCCTCCCAGCTGACACATCTGTCGCCTCTGTCCAAGAATCCTCCTTGACCCCTTCGTCCTCCCCTCTTCAGATGTTGCCCCCAGCCCCAGCATGTACCTGCAATTGGGGCTCTTCTGTAATTGCCAGCAGCCTATCTGAGCAACAGCTCCTGTTTACATTGGGATGGGGCTCAACAAGAAACAGTCACCCCCAGGTCGTCCACCGGGACAAAAAAGCAATATGCTTCATCCAAAAAAGAGGAGGAGGAAAGCATTTGAGATCCCTCTAATCTCCCCCAGGACCTATATATACTGCTTACTCTGCCAGCAATTTGCAGTGCCATGTGCCCTCCCAAAACTGGATTTACTAATGGAGCTCAGGCTCAGCTCTTCCTCCATGAGGCTGAGGGTCCACGTGGAATTTTGGGAGCAGTGTGGTGAAGCAGATTACTTCCCCCCTCAAAGCCAAAGGCGAAAACATCTGCATAATGGCACTGCAGGGCTCCTCTCACTCTCTAGCTGGGGGCTCGGTGTGCTCCTGCTGCTTTCCCTTACCAAACCCTGAGGGAGGGAAGCAACTGATCAGTACGACCCAAAACCTCAAAATTACCCTTTCCCTCACCCCCGTGGATTAGGGCCACATGGCAAACCTTCCCCTCGAGGAACACATTTTTCTCAGCGAAAGGGGAAGATTTTATTAAGTTAAAAGTTGAGGGGTGCAGCAGAGCAGCAGCAGCTGCCACCTTGGGGAGGTTGGCTCCGGCGGGTGCAGTAGCAGCCTCACAGCTCCTCTTCCCCAGAAAGGAGAAGCCCTGTGGCTCTGGGCTCCTGCCAACGCGGGTTCTTGAAGGAGCCAAAAGGGCAGATATGGAGAGAGCTTGATCATGCGGACTCTTGCCAAGGTGTCCTCTTTCAAACGTCCCAGGCAAGCACATCCATGGCAGGTGGCCCCGGCGTCTCCCTCCTATGGCTTGCATGTCTTCTCCGCAGGTCCCGGAGGGTGGCACGGGGAGGGGAAGCATGGTCCTTGCCGTACATCCCAGGGGACCGTGGAGACATTTGGAAGAGAGGGAATATGTGCCAAAGGTGGCTGTGTGGCTGGGAGCAATGGGGCTGGGGAAGGGGGAAAAAACAGATTCTCTTTTTCAGGTTAGAAAAATGCTGGTGATGTAGTAAAAGTTTTCCTCCTCCTCTTCCCCTTCTTCCTGTGGGGGAAAAATTCCTCTATAAAATATAATTTTCACATATAAAATCCTGAAGAAGGTGCATGTAAGGAGCCAGTCCAAACAATGTGCTCAGGTATGCAGGCAAAAAGGGTTCATCAAAAAAGCTTTGGGAAGGGAGTGAGGAGGTTGGGGGTGTGTAGGATTCCTTGCCAAGGCGATAACGGATGGGATTCAACCTCCCTCTCCCCACAAGTGAGGAATGGAGCAAATACAAAACTAGAACAGATAACAAACGCAGAGCAGACCTAGAGAGAGAGACAAAACAGAAATGGTTTAGAAAGACTCCACTGAGCACAGAAATACTGATCTGTCTGCTCCCTGGAGAGATGGCTGTCTGGTGCCCTGCTACAGACCCACTCATCTCAGTGCCCACCAGCAAGTGCTGGTGGAGCAGGGTGACCCCAATTCCAATGGCCATGGCATCCAAGCAAGGGCAGAAGCAGTACGGACAACAGGACGCCCTTGTTCCTGTCACCCTGTTTCCCTCCTCAGCCACAGGAGGGATGTCTGCAGGTGAGTGTGGGAGAAGGGCTGGGTCTAGTCAGGGCTGCTTTGATGCAGACCTAAAATTTCCGTTCTGTGATAGGGAAACCACTTCAAAGGTGAACAGAGCAGAAACACAGCCTTACACAGGGAATGCGTAACTGCCCCCACACTGTCACCCAAGCCACAGGTCGAAGGCCAGCATTTAGCTGGCTCCCACATCCAGCCTGGTTGAGCAGCACTTGGTGCTGGCTGCATCAAGAGCAACACAGTGAAAAGGGGGCTGAAGCCCTTGGGAGAATGTCAGGGACAACAGGAGGGCCAGGGGTACAAGAAGCAGAGAAGGAAGAATTTAAGCCTAAAGTTTCAACACTGAGTGGAGCAGGAGAAACTGGCAGCTTCCATCGCCCTGTCAATGAGCAGCAGCCAGTCTCAGCCAGCTGCACCCGCAGGGGACATCACAGCACCCTCAGTGCTCACCATTACTTGCTGACGCTGTTGCACAGCGACTCCTTCTCCTGCAGAGCCGCCATGGCCAGGCGCAGGTGCTCCTTCAGCTGCTCGATCTCTCGCTCTGAGCGCACCTTAATGTGATTCAGCTCTGCATAGACATCTTGGTATTTCCCTGAGGCAAATCTCTTGTCCTGCCAGGGAAGGGAGAGATTCTGGGCTGATATTAGGGAGGGCTGCGGCAAGGCAAGCCCAGCAGGTGAGAAGCAGAAAGCTAGCCCTGGGTTTGAAGCCCATCCCAATCCAGGCCACACAGAAACCATTCAGAAGATGAGCATGGAGGTAGCACTTTGCAAAACCTGGGCCAGGAAGGAAGGCAGAGACTCTGGTGCCGCAGCAGTGGGGATCTGCAGCATCAGACTGATGAGGCAATGTGGGCTTTACCATGGCTTGTGCACATGTGGAGCAGCCATATGGGAAAAAAAACACCACCAGGGATGCAGTCCACTGAGAGAGTTGGGCCCAGCTGCTTATATGGCAAAAAACTTACATGAATAAGTTATAATCTCCTTGAGCATCACTGAATCTCAAAGCCTCTTTTGGGTTCTCCTTTGGCAGGGGTCTTTGAAAATCCCTCTGAATGAGCTGCTGCCAGTGGAGGGAGCAGCATGCCCAGAAACAATGCCCAAGGAAATACATCCACCCAGCGAGGGGATAACTAAGGGAAGCAGAGTGCTAGGCAGGCTTCTTCCAGGTTTCCCACTTGGAAAAGAAGGGCTCCTGGCCTGTCCCTGCTTATATGTGCTTATATCTGGGTAAACCAGCAGCAAAGTCTCTGTGACACTTCCCTTCTACAAGGTAAGTCTATGCCAGCCCATGCTGTCTGGAGCTGCTATGTGCTCTGCAGTCAGCAAGGACAAGGAGCACAAGAGGGTTTGTCCTGAGCATTCATTAAACCCAGCTGAACCCTGCTGATATGCAGCCCTGGTGCCCCCCTCCCTCCCCTCTCCTGCTGATTTCCCAGTAACTCCGAGAAAAAAACACCTTTTGCATCATCTGCAGCTCCTCCCGGAGGCACTGCACCTCTTTCTTTAGGTACTGGAGCTCGTTCTCCTTCACTCGCAGCAGCACCTGGGCCAGAAAGTGGGAGAGAAACCAGAGGTGACTCAAGAGCCACCACCTCGGAAGGGCTGGAAGGCCCTGGCGCAAGCGCAATGGTGGGAAAGGAAGGAAGGACCAGAAAGGCTGGGGCAGGAAACGGCGCAAACAGCCTGAGAGAGCGGCAGAGGGGAAGCTTGCATTCCTGCTTCCTGCACCATCCCCGTTGCTCCATCCAGCACCCCACTCCCACCTGCTCTAAGCCAAAACCGTTGAGAGGAGAAGACCCCCAGAGCGGGTAGGGATGGAGGCAGTGAGGCAGCCAGGGGGGACCCCATACCTCCAGCTCGCAGGAACTCCGCTCATTGTTGTGCGAAGAGCAGTCCCCAGAGCTCCGTGACGAAATAAAGCTCCGCAGTTTCCCGATCTCATCGGAGAGGCGGGTCTGCAGCTCCTGCAGCCAAAGCCAAAAGACGTCAGAGTAGCCATGGCACAGGCCTCTCTACTGTCCTGACCCTTCCATCTTCATTCCAGCCCTACTCCAGCTTAGACACCATTTCGTAACTCCCTGTCCACAGCTGAAAGCAGCATCTACAACCTGCAGAATACATTCACCATGTTTAACACCACAGTTACGACAAGCCCAACTACAGTCTCTCATTCTAGTCTTCTTCTGACATAAAATCTCAGAAGGGAAGAAATATGAAAATATAGGGGAGTTCTAACAGAGGGGCTGTGCTGTGTGAGGGAAAAACATGCTTCACTGTGTCTGCTAGCAGGGAAAGCCCTTCTCTTGCCTGATTTTTCCGGAGGAGGTCCTTCCCCTCCTGCTGACAGCGCTGCAGTATCTGCTCCCGTTCCTCTGCCTTCTGGGTGAGCTCCCCAATTTCCAGGCACTTCTGGGAATACTGCTCAGAAAGCACCTGCAGCTCCCGCTTCAGGGAATCCACGTCCAACCTGCAAAAGAGGCACCAGCTCATCACTGCCCCAAAACCCTTTCCAGCTCCTGGCCACCGGCATCACCCTCCCCCCCCTGCCATGGCCAGCCTCTGCCCACATCAGTCATTAGCACATGACAATGTTCTCTGTGGACCAAGGCTTCAGTTTCCACATTCCCACACTTGAGTGTGGTGCTTCTAGGAGCTTCAATACATGCAGGAGAAATCTAGGAGCTTTCCATAAGGAAAATAGAGGGAAAAAGCTGTAGGGAAGAGGGAGGTGCTATAGGGAAAAGCACCAAGTAGGAGACAAACCTCCCTGCTCTACAGCTCCAGCAGCCCTGGGAGTCACCACTGGGTACCCACCACCCCCGAGGAGGGAGCTGGGGAGGTGGCAGGACGAACAGCTGGGGGCTAGAGCTGCAGAGAGGATACAGTGACAATGGCACAAGGCAGCATCACTGGAAAAGGGGAGCAAGAGAGGTGCTTTCTTACTGGTGCTGCTTCTGGAGGGCTTCTGGGAGAGAGCTGCATTGCTGGAAGCTTCGTGTCCTGCCCAGCTCCTTATTCATTTCCTCCCGGTGGGCTTTCTTCAGTGCTTCGATGGCTGCAGATGGGGACAATGGGAGATGGGGGATCAGGCTGTGCCAGCTTTAGCTGGGGAAACCACACCAGGGAACTGGCTAAGCTCTTGCCACTGCAAGTTCCCAGATTTATCTTTGCAGATTCCCCCTCCTACTCTTCTGCCCTCAGGACAGTCCCCACCTTCTCCAAACCCCAGGGATCACCATGCTGCCAAGGAGACTAACACAATGTGGGAGCTTCCTACCACCTCTGTCAGCCCTGCCCACCTACAAGAAAGTGCTGGCCCCCTCCCACCCATCTACAGAGGCAAGAACCCATTTCCTGCAGTATCTTTACCGTGCCATCTCCACCAGCACCACAGGTCCAAGGAGCACCAAAGCTCACGCTCCAAGGAGCGTTGGTCTCACACCAGTAAGATCAACAGTGTAGCTCCAGATGACTGGAGTGACTGGCTTCTGGCAAGAGACATTTGGGAGAGGTGGGAGGGACCCAGCTGAGCAGGGGCACAGCTTGTTGTGTGCTCCTACCTGCTGCTGTCGCTGCTGCCTCTTCTGCCAGGAGCCGCTCCTTCTCCTGCCGCAGCCGCTCCAGCTCCCGCTGGTGGTGCCTCTGGAGCTCCTCCATCACTTGCTTGTGGGATGACTCCATCTCAGCCAGGCTACGCTCGCAGGCCTCCTGTTGTGTGGAAGAGAGGAGGGCTGAGAGACCAGGAGGGAAGACAGAAGGGCTTGGGCCAGGACAAGCACCTGGCTCAGCTGGTGTTTGCCTTTGCAAACCTCACCCAAGTCCCGGGATACTTTGGGAGAAGTAAGACTACTTCCCAGGAGGGTCTTTTCCTTCTGAAAGTGAAGTAGCTCTTTAATCTCTGAACACAACCATTTGAGAGGGACACACATCTTGCAACTCCTTTGCACTTTACAGAGGAAGAAACATTCCTCTGGCTCTTGAAACTAAAGCAGCAAGACAGGAACATCCCTCTTGGGCCAAGAGCTGGGAATAACGCCCAACACCACAGTCCTGACCCTCCACCAGGCTGCGCTGCCTGGCCGAAGAAGATCAACAGAGGGAACTGCATCTCAGTATCTGCCTTTTAAATGAAGCAGCATCTCCCGGAATCAATGAAAACTGAGCCTCTTCTCCTGAAAAGTGACACCCTGCACTGCCCTGTGGCCCCCTGACGGAGGCTGTGAAAGAGCCCTCCCCACAGCCTAATGGTTAAGGATCCTCCTCACACAGCTCGCCCTCCTTTCTGATGGCTCTGAGATCAAGGGGATGGTTCTTTCTACGCTGAGTGCTGTGGTAAACTCAAGATAGAGCAAAGCAAAGCGGTTCCCACCTTGGCACTACATCTCTGCTCCCCCTCCAGCACCACCCCAAGCCTCTCAGGAAGGATTTGTTCATCACCAAACTATGCCTTTTTTTTAAAAAGCCTGAGGCTAAAAGGCACCAGCAGAGAGCTAGGAAATCATCACATCCTCCCACAGCCCCTTGCCATCCCATTCCTTCACCCAGGACTAAGGCAAAGGCTGATACAAAGGACACTGCAAGACAAGTGTATGAATGCAAGTTGTTGCTAGCTACTCTTTTCTACTGAGATGAGGGAAGCTCACAGATCAACCAAAGGAGAGGAAAAAGTAAGGAATCAATCTGGTGATCTGTCCACGGACTGGCTGCAACCCTTGGCAGAGAACAAATCCTTTGGGGAAAGGTCAAGTTTGGCCTTAAATGTGAAATGCTGGCCTTTTGAGAAAAGTTAATAGGAAGATAAGGGAGTTCCTCCCCACTGCTTTTGCTTTTTTTGACCATAAAGAGGCCTGTGAGCTGCAAATATTAAATCAAGATGACAGAGAGACTGGTAAGTGTCCGGGCTGTGTGCTACAGGGCTTGTGGGTTTCTTTATCTGGGCTAGGTACAGCCAACCCACTGCAACAGACTTAGCCAGCTCCAGTTTCCTGCCCTGCCAACCTCCTCACCCCGGCATCTTTCAACACATAGGGTACATCCTAAAAACCCACTGCATGGTAGAACAGCAGCCTCGCCACAGGAAATCCCTACAGGATGTGACCCTGCTTGCTTTGGATGAGTCCATGAGAGGGAAAAATAAATAAACACAGCAAAGAGAGAGGCTGAAGCATGAGGAAATTCTGCTTAGCAGGCTCTCCCATGTGCCATCCTCAACAAATGGCCTGTGCTGTCAAAGTGACCTTCAGGACTCGAGCGGTCAGACAGGGATTAGAGCTCTCCAGAGACTGACTGACTGCTTTTAACAAGGCACTCGTGAGCCCCTATTAGCAAGAACCACTGCAGCAAACCACGGGGAAATGCACCAGAGGCTCTGCAGAAAGCTGCTGACCCGCTCACAAGCTCACCCCCCAGCCTAGGCCAGGCCAGCATTGTGTGCATGTGTAAAGTGGGGGACAGATCCTGCACCTCTCCCTTAACTCTTCTTCTCTCTGTTTATAATTCTGGTCCCTTTAAGGCCAGACAACATGCACCAGCCTCTATGTAATTAACATTGATTACAAATGGGCTCAGTTAGGGTCACCATGACAACCCAATGATTAGCGATACCTGCTCAGCAATAAGCTGAGTCCAAACATTTCCCAGTTTGGTACTGGGAGTGATCCCAGGGTCCTGTGTCCTGGGTCCTGTGTCCTGCATCCTACTCACCTGTGAGATGTACCCTCGGGGCACATGGCTGTCTCCCTGGGATGTTGCTGCCTCCCGAAGACTCTCATTTCTGGCCCGGCAGGACTCCAGCTGTGCCCGCAGTGACTGGATCTGCGCCAGGGAGGAGAGAGATGGTCACCCAAGAGTAGAAAAGTGCCATGGTCTGACCAATATGCTGCATCCAAACCCTGGGCTTAGGGATGGGGAGGGCCAGTGGGGACATCTGCTTCCCTGGCAGCCTGCCAAGGGACCAAACTGGCAAAGCCAGCCCTAGCCTGGTGAGTTCTAGTAAGAAAGGGAGGAGACATCCCAGCTTCCAGAGGTGGATTCATGGTGGAGGAAACCACCACTGCATGGCTCCTTTCAAAGGCTGGCAGGTGAAGTGCTTGCAGGCTTGGGAACAGCCAGAGAGGAAAGGCTGTGCATGTGTTCCGAGGACATGCAAACAGTGACAACAAATAAATTATCCTGAACCAAAACGTGGTCTGGGGAACCTCTCCAGGTGTGTGACAGCAGGCCTCTGGCCTCGCCATGTTGCAAAAGCTTCCGTGCACTTGACAAGTGGCAAATGGAGCCAGAAAGAATGAACATCTTCCCGAACCTCTGCCTTGTTCTTCTGCAAAGCCTCCTGCTGCCAGAGACCACACTCAGGGGCCACCAGAATCCCGGTTTCAGATAGGAGGGATGCTCTTACCTCCTTTTTCAGTGCCTCATTGGTGTCTCCATGGCCCCCCTTGCTCTGGTTCAGCAGTGCTGTCAAGGGCACTCGCTGCAAGTCCTTCAAAGGCAGGCGTTCCAGCTCCAGCCACTTCTTCTCTATCTCCTCATTCAGACGAATCCGCTGTTCCTCTGAAAGTGGCGGAGGGGGGAGGTCCTGCTCCCCGACCTTGCGGGAAGAGTCTCCTGCTGGGCCATCGCTGTTTGTGACCCTGCCATCAGGGGTCTCAAACCATTTCCGCCTCTCCTCCGAACGGATGGCCAGATCCCGCTCCAGCTCCTCATACTTCGGAGTTCGGTTGGAGATCCTCAAGCTCCCTTTTGTCCTCTGTGGGGACCCCTGATTCCCGGGGTCCTGTGGCAAGGGAGACAGCTCCACATAATCAAAGGCATGGCGCTGCCCATCTGCCTTCCAGTGAGTGCTCTTTGAGTTCCCCTCGGAGCCTGAGCCCGAGCCTGGCCGCTGCTGCTCCTCCATCCGGAGTGAGCCTTTCTGGGGAACACAGTTACGGAAGGAGTTCTCCTTATCGCAGTCAGAGAGCCTGAAACCAGAGCAGCAACTGGTGAAGCAGAGGTACCGTTTGGGAAAGGATGCCAGCAGAGGCACTGCCAACTGCCCAAGGCTCAGCCCTCTCTCAGCCCAGCCTTATGAAACCCCACCCTGAGCATGGAGCTGGGTCTGTAGCACCCCATCCCTCAGGGAAATAGGTTCCTCCACAGGGTGGGGAAGATTGACCCCGGTTGCAGCTATGCTGGTAGAGAAATCAGTCTAAACTGATGTGGCCAGGCAAAAAGCAGGTGCAAGACAGAAAGCCATCAGCCACCTGTCACCAGCTGGTGTAACCAAGCCATTTTCAGGAGAAGCAGAGAGCAGGGCTGATCTGGGAGTGATGAGATTTCTAGAGGGGCCTTCCTGATCCCTGTCTGCCAGGGTAGAAGGGCAGCAAGTGGGAAGAGGAGAAGCAGCACAGGGCAGCTCTTACTTGGTGACATCTGGAGCACTGACTGGGCGCACATTTTTCCTCAGGGCCTCGATCCAGTTGCGCCGGATGCCCGAGGTCATCGCTGACAGGGTGAAGACGGCATCCTTTGTCTGCAACAGGGAGGCGACAGAGGGCCCTTCAGTGCCCAGTGGAGATGCAGCAGCTCCCACTCACTCCCTGAGACCCACGGGACCCACTTGCTCAGGCAGTGAACAGTGTTAGAAAGGCCATCTGCTGTCTCAGCTTCTTGTGGCCAGGTGGAGGGGTGGGAGAGGAGACACACTGCTTGAGGGGAAGCTCGTTACACGTCCTCTATGAGACCATCTCCAAGCAAAGGCAAAAGAAACTTTGCTGGCACATTGGGCCAAACATGCGCTGGTGCAATCCAGGTACTCAGGTGCTGGGAGCTGGATGCCAGCACTGGGGTACAGCATCAAGCCACAGGGAAACCCAGACCATGAAGTGCACAGCCCTGAGCACCCACCATTTTTTATGCTGCCCTAGCAGCTGCCTCCTGCTGCCACAGCAAGTAGCCAAGGACAGGACTGTACTGGGGCTGAATCCAGGGTACAGGCTGCTACTCAGAGCACAGTGAGCCAGGCTACACCAAGGTCTGCAGTGCTCACCACTCCCTCCCTGTGGCTATTGAGAAGTTGTCTTGGCCAACAGAACAATTAAACACTCCTGGCATTTAGCTTGGCTCATGAACTCCCTCCAGCACAGTCTTCAGCCAGCCCTGCAAAGCCTCTTCCTTCTCCTTCCTTTGCAGGCAGGCAGCACTTGTGTCCCTGAGCACCGCAAAGGATTTGCTCGAATTGCCTCTCAGCATCTTGGCATGGGGAGGGAGCACGCATTCCCACCCAGCATCCCTTGGTCCTACTGCTTTGTGCCCAGACAGTGCCAGACACTCACATGTATCTGGAAGCCATAGTTGCGTTGCACTGCAAACTCTGTCACATCCGTGCAGGAGCGGAGGTCAATTTCTCCGTCAAGGTCATCAGCCTGCAAGCACAGCCACCCGCGAGGACATCAGTGCTCACTCAGCTTTGAAAAAGCCTCCGTCACTTGTCAGCACCCTAACCAAAGTGCAGGCCACCTCTGCCTTCACCCCACAGTTCTCTTGGAGCCAGGCTCAGCTCTCCAGAAGCCAGGTTCAGTTTTACAGCACACCTCTTCTAATCCAAGGGCAGCCAGCAGGGTGGAGAGCATCAGAAATGCCCAGCCACAGAACCAGCCCTTCTGCTCACTTTCCACCACCAACAGTCCCCCCAGACTTCACCACCCCACATCACCCCTTGGCAAAGAGCAGCTTGCCACCTCCAATGTCCTTCAGGAGGACATGATACTGCCACTTCTCCCTGGAGCACACTGGTCATGCCAAGGCTGTGCTCTTCTACTCCCTGGACAGGAAGGAAGAAAGGGCTGGAGAAAGACTGGCCATGCTTACCTCCTCTGCGTTCGAGTCCCGGTAATACCTCAAGCTCGAGTCGGTCAGCACGAACCAATGTTTCTTCCACTGTAGGTGGATCAGGTAGGGGGAGGGAAGGGAAAAGACAGGAGGGAAATGGATAGGCAGTTACCAGGAAAAGTGCAGGAACAGGGAGGGACTCTCCGCGCTATGACCTCTCAGCCTTCTCCACTCCCTCCTCCCTCCCAGATCCCCCTCGTGCTCCTCAGATGGGAGAGAGACACTCTATGAAACTCCGTGTTTACACACGGAGTGAGGCACCTCCACCAAAGGTTTCCCACTGCCTTTCCCAACAGGAGAGACCTCAGCAAGCATGGAGGAAGGAAATCAGCTGGCTCACCAGGGATCTCTAGCAGCAAGGGCTAGGGGAAGAAGCAGACTCATGTCTCGGGCTTACCTCTCCCGGCTCGTCCAGGATGGACATCCATCCCTTCTTGAAATTGAGGAGATCCGGCTGGAGAGAAAAGGACAAAACAGAGAGTTACTCTCTTGGAGTGACCCACAAAAACGCTTTTTATGACAGGGGGTAGAAGGTGAGTCCCCAGTGACAGAACAACGATGGGAATAGCCTGGCATAGTTTTTAGGAAACTCATGGGGGTATATGACCTGATAACAAAGGAGAACTGGGCATAGCTCTCAGCAGCAGGCAGTCATTCCTGTAAGAGGGGGGAGGAGATAAGGAAAGAGGTTTTAAAAAAAAAAAAAGGAAAATATGCAGCAGGAAGGTTTCCACAAGGTGCCTCAGAGGTATTTATTCAGAGATGGGGAGGCAGAGACAAGGAGAGTGGGCAGGAGGGAGTGCTCCACCACCACTGATGGGGCTTGCCTCAGAGATGGAGGCAAAGTCACAAAGAACCAGACACACCTTGTCCAAACCCTGTCTGTCCGTGCCCCAGAGCTACGTCCCTCCAGTAACTTCACTACTGATCATTTATTAAAGATATGAGTAGCTCTCTACAAAACAGCCCTCACCGAAAACATATAGGAGGCAATTCAACAGCTGTGAAAACATGTTGCCTTTAAACGATGTGCCCCAGGGAAGAGATGAAGTCAGAGCCACAACCAGTGCTTGATCCTTTGTCCTATCTGAGACTGAACCCCTTCCAAGGCTCAACCCTCTCTGAGATTCTGGGGGCCCTTCTCTTATTCAGCTCCTGCTCCTTCCAACTACAAAGGCTGCCTCCTGCCCAGCCACAGCTACTGAAGATGAGGATGAAGAGAATTTCACCCCCATTATCCCATGCCAGAGTTTCCCCATACTCCCTGCCTCCTCCCAACCTCATGCCACTGGTGCAGCATCCCAACCAGTTTATCTCCTTTCCAAGGTGGAGCATCAGGGAGCTGACTCAGGGGAACCTCTGTCCCTGGCTTTGCCCTCAGCCAAACAGGCTTGAGCCAGTCCCTCCTCCCAGTGCTGTTGGCTCCAAGGAAGTTGCACCACCAAAGAATTCAGTCCGACATGTCTTCTCCCCGAGAAGCCAGAGTTTGCCAAGCTGCCCCTTCTTCTGCAGCTGAACCAGGCAGGGACAGTGTTGGAGAAGTGACAGCACTAGACTTGCCAGTCCCAGGGAAGCCACCAGCAGTCCCCATGTGTCACAACCATCAGCTGAGACTGAGCTAGTGAGAAGGGGTGGCCACTCCACCCTCCCTAAACAAGGCTAGTGGCTGGCCACAGCTGCCCCACAAGCCCAGCTCCCTGGCCATCCAGCCAGGATGAGGCTTCCCCTGCTTTCATCTCCCTGAGCTGCTGCTCTTGGGTTACACCCAAGGTTATGGGGCAGCAAGAGCCGAGAATGTGCCGGCCCACCCTGGCGCTCCAGCTATTGGTTTGAGCAGGAGCAGGGAGACATGCCAAGGGGAGGGTCAGTGGCTGCTACAGCTTCAGGCCTGGCCAGAAGCATCCGGCAGTCCCAAGCTTCCTGAAAGGGAGGGAAACCAGAGCAAAGGACACGGGGGGCTCCCAAACCTCACCTCCTGCTGGGTGACAGGCACTGCTGGCAGCTAGGAGATGAGGGGGATGCATGCATCCCCATCAACACAGACATCCTGGTGGCTTCACTGCTGCCCTGAGAAAGCACCCTGAAAATTAATTCTTTCCCCATGGCAGCAGCTCCACCCTTTTTCCCATTATTCCTTCCAATCTGGTGACTTAAACTCCAGCTCCAAACTCAGAGCAGTGGGAAGGAAGGAAAGGAGGCAAAACATCAAAGTGCAACCTCCTCCCTCCTGGGACACGTGCACTCAACAGAAGAGAGATGGGCAGGCTCCGCAGAGGCGGAAAAACAATATAGGGAGAGAGGGAGCGAAAGGACTCCTGGCTGGGGCTGTCGTATGGATCAGTTGGGTCTCATCTTATTGAGGATTTACAATCCCAAAGCATTAGGTGCCAAAATAATTAATATTAATGGGATGTATGCCACTGGAAAAACTGCCACCAAGTCCTGCCAGAACCACTGCCCCTAACACAGTGCTGAGGCCAGAAAATTCCCCTGGGATGGCTTCTCCCAAGCAGATGAATTGCACAGGGCTTCTGCTCTCCCTGCCAGCCCCAGACACAGAGCCAGAGCTCTACAGAATCATCTTTGGACTATTCTTGTCATAGTGGGGCCAGTACAATAAATTGATGCATCAGTTGATGCTCAAAGTGCCTACAGCCACTTTTCTTCCTTTCCCCACAGCCAAATCCAGTTTCCTCATCCAGCATAAAAAGTGCAGGATACCGGCAGAGAAGAGAGCGGGGTTCAAATAGAACCCCTCAGAGGAAATGGCCAAACAGTGGGAAGAGGAAACATCCAGGAAAGCCAAGCTGCTGGGAGAGATCCGGGTGCCGGAGACACAGTGATGTGGCAGGATGCACCCCCAGCAAAATGCACGGCCCTGCAGCGCAGCTCGGGGCTGCAGGTGGTGAGGCTTTGGCTTGGGAGGTGGCAGCAGCAATTTTGCCCAGTTGCATCCATACCTGTCAGAGGTTTTATGTTCAGCCCTGTAGCTGACCAGTTGGAGGCACTGGAGGGGGTTTCAAGCAGCTGGGGACATAGGTGAGATCTGGAAAGACTGGCTTGCAACAGCAGGTTAAGGAGCAGCAGTTGCTTGCTCTGGTTGAATAAGGGCTACAGGGGAGGTGATAACAGCCTCTAAGTATCTGAAGAATGTAAACACCAAAGAAGGAAAAGGGACAGGGTGGGAGCGAAGGAATGGCTCCTGGGTGGTACTAAGGCACGGAGATGGAGAAGTGGAGAAGAGGCTGTGGCAGGCTGAGAAGGCTCAGTGCCAGAGCGGGCAAACGGGATGATCAGATGTCTCCTTCCATCACCAGCCTCTGCCATCACCGTGCCTCCTACTCTTCCTGCTCACAAAGGCTCCTCAGGACCCCAGGTCCTGGGGCACTGCTTTCTGTCATCTCCAGGAAATGGTGCAAGGGGCTTTCAAGCCTCCCGGAAAGCACAATGTCTCCTCTTCTCTAAAAAGGGAACCCGCTCCACAAGGCGCGGGCCCCAGGCCAAAACACAAAGCAAAACCACTCCAGCTCAGTTTGGTGAAAGCAAAATCGCTTCCAGGCTGGGGCACACATGCAGCTCCCGAACCTACACGTGCAGCGAGAGCCAGCGGGCGACAGGCTCTCCCTTTCCCACCGCCCCCGTGCGAAACGCCGGCGGGCACAGCCCAGGCTGTCACCTCCATTACCCCACTTTGCTCAACATCCTTCCTCCCGCGGCCGGCAGCCGCCTGTGCCAAGGAAGGTTCGCCCCAGGGGCGGAATGTTCCCTGCCCCAAACCGCATCTGTTTCCCACAGGGAGCAGGAGTTCCCCACTCCCGAAGGGATATGAATTTCTCGTCCGACTGCGGTCATCGGTGCGGTGAGCTGGCCCGGCCTCAGCCCGGTCCACGCTCCCGCTCATCTGGGTGGGGTGGTGCCCGCCGGGAACCGAGAGGCCACGGGGAGCCCTAGGGATGGGAAAGGGAGCCAAGGAGGCACCGCCACAGCCCTTGAGTCCTGGGGCCAGAGTCCCCCGGGGAGCAGCGGCTCCAGAAACCCCCCGAGCGGAGGGACCCCCGGAGCTGGCGGCTGACAGCTGGGGGCCCACCGCCCCCTCCCAGTCCCAGTCCCGGGCTGCGCCCCGAGCCTCGGAGGAGAAGCCCCCGCGACCCCCGCCCGCCAAGCCCCGAGCCCCGCGGGCCGGTCCCGACTCACCGTCATGGCGGGGGCGCCGCGGCCGGCGGGGCCGGGGCCGGGGTCGCGGCGGGGCCGGGCGCTGGCAGCCAGGGCGGCGGGGCGGCTTCAGCGGCCGGGCGGCTTCCACGGCCCCACCATGCCCGCTCCGCCGCCCGCCCCGC